AACAAAAATGTTTACGCAGGTCAGGTACAAAGTGAAAGATATTTAAATTGTGTGGATATAAAAACAACTTGCGTTAGTTTCACGAAATTTATTAAATATTACACAGTAGCTTCTTCAGAATGTATTAAACTAATACTAGTACAAAATTTATATGTATAATAAAAATATTTTTGTATTCTAGCCTAGAATTTCTAGGTAAGGATTTTTATACGACATCTACCTGTGTTACATAATATAAACCACTGCCACTACAACGTTTAAAACGATTATTAATCCGTAAACACACAGTAGAAACAAGATATGCAAAAACAAAGATCATATGACATATAAAAACAAATGGCCGACGGTAAAGTTGGTTGCCTTACTATGTAATAAAATAAAATAAATTCCTAAAACACGAACTCTACTGACTTCCAATAAAATTAAGTAACAAGCTAGGACACAAGCGTCATATGTCCATCTTTGTCCAACACCTAGGCAGTTTTACATCACAGATGGCGCATTTTAGACCGGATGCTTAAAAACCTACGTGTGAGTACATTTACCGCTGCATCGAATGTACAAGACAAGTAAAACATTACTGCTAGCATGTCTGAGATATGTTCGGCACCCGATGAGTCACGTTCATATATTGACGGTTTCTACTATATATGCCTATAGGCAGTCTTTTGTAAAGGCATAACAAAACAAAAGTTAAATTCTTGGTAAAAAAAATCGTTAAACAATAACCAAAATTATGAGGCGCCGTTTGCGTCAAAATTATTTTATGCTTATATAGATAAAAATTCCACACATATATGCGAAAATGCAAATATAAAGTTTTGTTTTGGTACATATATAAAAATGCAAAAGTGCAGGTACAAATATAAAGTTTCGTTTTGGTACATAAATAGATATGCAAAAGTGCATGTGCAAAGTTTCGTTTTGGTACACATATAAATATGCAAAGATGTGGGTACAAATATAGAATATAATATAATGTTATATAAAGTGTAGCATGGCCCGTTGGTACAAATATAAAAAGTAAGGTTTGGGACGGAGGCGCAAGATGGCGTTTTCAACACTTTTAACCGCGCTTAAACGTACGTCTGTTCTTACTACCGGCATTTAAGTTTCTAGTTTAATGTTTGTTTGTTTTAATTAAAACGAATCGTTTTGTTAAAAAATAGGTAAGAGTAAAAAGTAAAACGGCGTTTATAACTTACCTATTTTCAACTAAACTTCTTTTAATTAAAACAAACAAACGTTAAAAGTAGTTAATCTATAATACACAATAGAAAATTTAAATGCCGGTAGTAAGAACAGACGTACGCTTAAGCGCGGTTGAAAGCATATAAGCGCAAGCATTAAGCGCGGTTGAAAGCATATACTTACCAGGTAAGTATATGGTTGAAAGTGTTAATAACGCCATCTTGTGTCTCCGTCCTAAACCTTACTTTTTATATTTGTACCAACGACCCATGCTACACTTTATATAACATTATATTATATTCTATATTTGTACCCACATCTTTGCATATCTATATGTGTACCAAAACGAAACCTTGTACATGCACTTTTGCATTTCTATATATGTACCAAAACAAAACTTTATATTTGTACCTTAACTTTTGCATTTCTATATATGTACCAAAAAAAAACTTTATATTTGCATTTTCGCATGTATGTGTGGAATTTTTTATCTATATAAGCCTAAAATAATTTTGACGCAAACGGCGCCTCATACAAAATACTTAAATGGTCTTTAAAAGTATTTTGGTCTTCTACAGATAATACCATTTGGCAATTTACACAGTAGTGATGTATAATATTTAGATTAAAAGTCTGAAATCAAGATGAAATTATTAGTTTTATTTTTTATTACAAAAGATTTATATTTATATAAAAAATATGATCATTCCTATCCATTAATATATAATATATAATATATATAATATATAAGCTATTTCGTACAATTTAGAAAAACATATTTGTGTTTTGTTTAGGTATTATTTTCTTCTTATGGTAAAAATATGTTTTTTTTTTAAATTTTATTTAAATTTTTTATACAAAATTTAATCAAATCAAAAGTACGATTTTTTTATTTAAATAAAATTATTCAACCCTGCAAAATACGTAAAAAATCAAACGTACTGTTAGAGATGTATTTTAATTAAACACGGGTAGTTGATTAGGTAATTTACTAATTTACTAATAATAATTATTATACACGAGTGTTCAACAAGAAACCTGACTAAAAACTAACTCTAATACATTTAGTTCTCACAAAATGATGCACCCAACCCCTTAGTGTGTGGCCCTCTTAAAGGAATATTATATACAAAGGCAATTTATGAGACGTTTGACATGGTTCTTTACTTACGAATCGCACCAAGGGTGTTGGTGTTAATTTAAATGTGTACTTAAATCCAGTAAAAATAATGAAGACCTAATTATCTATCATTACATTTTCTATTCTCCAGGAATATAGTTTCTGTCTAAAAAGTATGCGAGTTTAGCCTTTTTTAATAATTTATAAATTATATTTGTAGTAATTTTTTTTCTTAGGACTTCTATCTTGGGGGGGGGGGTAATTACCCCCATTACCCCCTTTTGTCGACGCCCTTGGTAGCTTCTGCTATTCTAAATATTCCTCGGGCACTTGATTTGATAATAATAATTGTACATAGTTTTCACTATCTATATTATTTCCAGAAAAAAATGTTTTTGGATATATAGGGTACATTAATAAATTCGCAACTCATAGTGCACTATTTCACACAACAAAAAAACAAAGGTTTTACACCACAGCGCATGCGAAATCATATTAACGTATACACGTGTTCAGATGAATTTGAGAATAGTGGGATTTACCCAAAATAATAGTAAAAACCACCCACGGCATCGTTATTTCAATCAATGTTATAAGTTGCATTCGGTTTACAATTGTAAATCTAATTAGAAATCCTAGTCGGTCTGACTATTATTAAATAGGTATTCAAACATTTTATAATTATGATAAAAACTACAAAAAAAAATAGTCAAACCCACAAAAATTGCATTATAGGCAAAAAAGTAACTTTTTCTGAATGGAAACTTAACATTTTAATTGGCAAATTAAAATTTTACTGTTAAAAATGACCATCTTAACTGTAAGGGCCGTGTGCAGAAATGTTGATTTATTTATATCAACTGATTTACGCATATCCACTGATTTTAGTTTAAACCAATTTGGCATTATAGCAAATTTTAAATGACAGTAAAGCATAGTAAAGATTTGTAGGTTATCTTACATAAACTTAAATATGTGTTTATTACATTATAAGAGTGATACATTTTTAAAATGTATTATTAAATATACACATAAATACATTTATAACTGACCTATTATTGACAAAAACTTAGTTTTGAAGAGGATTACGGCAATATAAAACACAATAATTGGGTTATGTTCGCAGTTTGCAATGTGTTTTGTTACAAGTACCTAAAGTTGATGCCGAAGACATCGAGAGGGAAAAACACATTTAAAATTTGTGACAAGAATATAAAAAAATTAAGAAATAAACTCTAGAGGATAACATATGTTAGTTAATGCTTGATATACATAAATTATGGCTTCAGAATAACCTTTTTTTAATAAAAAGGAGGGAGCTATACTCAAAAATTGCATGTCCAGAAAAATTGTGCTAGAATATGGGTGGGAGTTGGAGTCTCGAAACTTTTTGTAGCATGCATATAGTTTACCCTTGCCTGCCCCCTGAACAAAATCCTGGCTATAGCCTTGCTGGAAATGGGGCAAGAATCCCTGCTTTTTTAAAAGGTTAAATTAAACCCAATGAAAAAAATTCGGCATGCCTTATACACTTTCACGTCAACTTTTGGGTTTAAAAAATATGTATTGTAATTCAAATTTGTCAAAAAAAGTAATCAATTTTTATTTTTTGGGTTTAATGGCTGGAATCTCACGTGAGGATTAGGGGGGGTCTACCACATCTCACCAAGGGGGGAGGGGTCCAAATTATCAGAAAAATGCCTCACGTAATTAATGAATGTCCCCTAATTTAAAAATTTAAAAGCAGAAAATAACATGGTTTAAAATTTAAAATTCTTCAAAAGTATTTAAAAAATAAGACAAATATTTTTTAAATACAATTTTGGTTTTTTAATCTTTATTATTTTTAAATAGTATTTTTTTTTTAATTTAAAAAAATAAATCAATAAATATTTTCATCCAAGTTCAATGTTTGGGGTAATTATTTTACAATGAAACTAAAGAAAGTTATAAATCAATTGATTTCAAGTATTCATCTTTTCAATCAGACAAAAAAACAGCAAAGATATTTGATATAATTAACATGGTAGTAACTTTATCTTTAATTATATCTTTTTTATAGGTATGTTAACCTTCTGATTTTATTTTTTCATATATATTTACAAACAAAAATAATAATAATGTTTATCCATATTTTTTTAAATCAGTCGTTAACGACTGATATAAATTATATCAACCGATTTACATTTTAGATGATTTTATTGGCCAAAAAAAAAATCTAGTAAACCATAACTTATATTAGCGAAATTATTTTCTATGGTTAAAAGCGAATGTCACAAATGAAATTTTAATTGTTTTATGTCTAATTTAAAATGTCAATGTATAGAAATCTACTTTTTTATGGATAATATAAACCTTGAAAGATAATTACCCCATTTATTTTATAAAACAACAGTTTTTAAAGAAAAGTATTGCGTTGCCATCACGTGCAAAAACCTATATCCACTGATATGCTATATCAGTTGATATAAATAAATCAACGTTTCTGCATACGGCCCTAATTAGACTTAAGTCTTACTATTGGATATCAACAATTTTCAAATGTTTGATTCTGCCACAGCAGTGTAGTCAAATGTACCAAAAAACAAGATTAATTTAGCTTAAAATAAAGAATAGTTGATATACGATTTTTCTTCTTAAAATTATCAATGCGATTTCATTGAGTGTGACCCACGTTAAAAAAACTTTTTTAGAAAAACATTTTTATTCAAAACAAGTAAATATACTCCATATAATAATAAACTATTTCGTATAAATATAAATAACAATACGTATAGGTATCTTCATTTAGTTTTAGGTAAAAATTGATCATTTACATTACATTTAATCTATATAATGTAGCATGTATAATATGTATAAGAATTAAGCTAAGTACGATGACGGGCAGGAATCGATAGAGGGCGCCACTTTCGCTAACATGTAAAGCGCCCCTCATGAATACGCGCCTATATACTCCGGCTTCCACAGCTGGTTGGAAAAGAAGTTGTGTATCTTGGCGATGTCGCGATCGTGGTCCGGATGCGCTACCACCGGCGCTATGGTAACTCCTTCGGGCACCAGCAGCCCCATCGGTATCAACGGGTTGTCGACGGACTTCCTCGACCTCTTCGACGGAGGCGGCGCGTGGATCTTTGGCGTTTCGTCTTGCTGCCGCTCCTCGCCATCGTCGCTAGCAACCTCTCGATCTATATCGAGAGCTAAAGGCAGCTTCAAAGGCATCAGCCGGTTCAGGAACCGCTTGATCTCGGCACTGCTGCTGATCTGATTGGTGGTGTTGGTGTTGTTGTTCATAACGTTCGCGTTATTGTTGTTGTTTTTGCTTCTGTTGTGGCTGCTGTAGCTGTTCAAGCCCAGGCTCGAGATCAGCTTCTCCCTCTGCAGCCTGACCCGTTTGGTGGTTATCACAAAAGCGCTGACGAAGGCCTTCTGGCAGACCTCGACTTTGTCGTGCGACGGTAACAAAGGCACCAGGTACTTGCAGGTGATGCGGCGCGGGGGACGCCCCGACCCCGTGGTCTCGGGCACGTTCAGACGCGCCCTAAGGTCCATGTTCTCCCTGAGGAATTGGTTTTGCAGGTCGGCCTCGCCCAAGCCGTAAAAGTGCGTGAACAAGTGCTGGCGAGCCTCTTGCGGCACGCGGTCATCACATTTTTGGGGGCACTGGCACAGCTCATCTGAAAATAAAACAAGAAAATTCATATATTCTCTTTGGTCAATGTTTTTTGGAAATTTTGAATTTTTAATGCTTAATAATTACACAGTTCAACATGATGTTCCTCCCATGACAGATTTTAAAACTAGAATAGTTTAAAAAAATGTACTTCCCGTTTCACGGAATCGCGTCATTTAAATTTTTTATACACCCCTTATTATTTTAACATATACATACAGGGTGAGTTTTAAGTTGACGCGTTCCTTTTAACAGTGTGTAGAAATCAGCTAGACAAATAAATATTTTCAGTTACTTTTTTATCAAAACTCAAAAATAAAAAAGTTATAGCCCATCAAAGTTTAATTAAATTTTAAGCCGGTCCTGGCTATTGTTAACGAAAAACATAACCATAAAAATATCAAAATGAATGCAAAAATCAAATTGACATTTTACAATAAAAACGTCATTATTTACTTAAGTTGCAGCATTTGCATTTTGACGACACTCTCCATAAATTATTAACATTTCCACTAATTCAATATTGCTATAATTATGAACCATTTTTAACAATAATTGAGGCACAAAAAAATTTTTTTCATTGCTAAATGTCATTTTGATTTAAATGGTTATGTTTGTTGTCATAGATGACATTTTGCATTGTTTATTTTGTTATTTTTATTTTTATGGTTATGTTTTTTGTTAACAATAGCCAGGACCGGCTCAAAATTTAATTAAACTTGGAAGGCCTATAACTCTCTTATTTTTGAGTTTTGATAAAAAAGTTACTTAAAATATTTATTTGTGTATCTGATTTCTACACGCTATTAAAAGGAACGCGTCAACTCACCCTGTATATTTAATTTCATCCATTAATTACGTGAGGCAATTTTGGCGATTTTTCGACTCCCCCCTCCCCCTCCCTTAATCTCACGTGAGATTTTTTAAAATGCATGGTTTTAATGTAATTGATTCCATTAGATTTATTAATAAAAAACAATTTTTATAATTGTTAACTTAATTTAACCCAGTTTTCTCGCAATTTTACACTGTTTCATTCGAAAAGAAAAAATTACGTAATATTTGCCGAGACCACCCTCCCCCCACGTGAGATTGGGTGAGGTGTGGCTCGACCCCCTCCCCCCTAAACACGTCACGTAATTAATGGATGCCCCCTTTTTTTCAAATATGTTTTTACATAATACAAAAATTATACTTAAAAAAATAATAATTTAGTTTTTTTTTAATAAAAAAATAATTTTTTTTTTTGTATTTACCTTACGATATTGAAAAAAAAAAACTTGGTCTTTTAGTTTGATTATACATTGCTTTATAGTGGTATCAAAACCTAAAAAACACCACTTGATATATTTTGTAAATGTGCAACGCTATATAAAATTTAAATAATTTTAAAATATAGCTTTAATGGTTGCCCATTTATTCGGTAAATATTTTTTTTAAACTAGCTGGTATCGAAGCTGTTATTAATAGGTACGTACCTTGGATAACATTTTATTAAATCGCACCAAAAAAAAATGATGTGATCGGGTATCATTTAAGTCTATTTTCAAAATTTGTAAAAAAATTTCATGGGAGGGAAAAAATCAAATTTTGTCGTACTGTGTTATTATAGAAATTATTTGGTGTAGATTCTTATTTATTTCTTATTTTTTTAAGGTTTGACTTTATTTACCCAAAACGACATAAAAATGTCTAAAAACCGGTTACAGACAGTAATTAACAAAAAGGATTATTCTAAAACTGAAATTACGAAATTAATTTTAATTATCTAAAATTCAAACAAAGCAAAACGTTTTAAAATATTAACCTGCTATTAAATTACAATACTCAACAAATAATAAACAATCGCTTAAAAAATAAATTATTTATCAGTAACAATCTTTGATATATTTTGTACAATATAACATTAAATGTGAGTTTTCCTTATTTAATCTAGTGACCACAGTCATTCGAACAAAGCAAAACGTTTTAAAATATTAACCTGCTATTAAATTACAATACTCAACAAATAATAAACAATCGCTTAAAAAATAAATTATTTATCAGTAACAATCTTCGATATATTTTGTACAATATAACATTAAATGTGAGTTTTCCTTATTTAATCTAGTGACCACAGTCATTCGTAATGCAACAGATAAAAAAGCCAAGTAGGCTTAAAACCGCATAGGACATTTCAAACTTATTCAACATAAAATCCACTTCAGACACAGCATAAACATCCATAAATAACATACTAAAATTTCATATTGTTATCTCTTATGTTTTCCTGGATATCCCCCATTAAACATTTCCCCGTACTTCTCGCGAATTAAATCCGGCAACGTCGCATAGAAACCGCGATCCATCGTGGCCTACGTGATTGCGACGATCGCGCGCGTTTGAAGGCCGTTTTGGAATTTAGGATGAAACGCGCTGCTGCTGCTGCTAAACAAAATCACCTTAAGGTTTTTTTGTTTTGTTATACTCTGTTCTGTTATTCTTTCCTAGCAACAATGTTTCTATCTAGGTGCGAAATTGTGCAACGTTGCACCGTTGAGTCACGGCACCTGCGACTTTTTTGCGATTTAGATTTTTATCGATGACGTTTTTTATTTTTTATACGAATATTTTTGATAAGGTTATATCTATATGTTAGTTTTTGTATTTTTTCACTATAAAAATATTTTATTTTCACAAAGAACCTTTCAATACATATAAAACACAAAGGTATTATTATTCTTTATCTTATCTTTGATAAAATTTTTGTTTACACAATTATTTAGGGCCCTTGATGTGGCAATTTCGTTTTAAAAAGTTAACAAATTGAATATCAATTAGTTAGGGATACCTACTTGTATTAAATTGTCTTTAAATTAGATTTAGATTTTTATCTATATTGGTTTATAATTAGTTTCTAATTATTTCATAAAATTTCGTTTTTGTGAAGTCTTTATTTTTTAAAAAGTGTTTTTGGACACTAATTTCATTCAAAGAAAACCTACACTGAAATGTAAAGCCATGATACAAACAACAATGTAAAGCCATGTAAAGCGATGTAAAGCCATATAAATCCCCAATTATAAAAAGTGTTATATTAAGTAGTTATATATTTTAATATAATAAAAAATAGAAAAATCAAATAACTAACTAAACTTATTATATACCTAGTAAATCTTTGGTTTCTTAAAACAGTTTTATACCTAATTGAGCAAAGGTCCTTCAAAACTTTTTAATTAGTTGTGAACTTTGATTTTGACGAGATTTTATTATATTGCTTTTAAAAGCATTACACAAGGTGTTGGCAAAATGTAAACATTGCAAAATTTATTAATTTGGCGTTAACGACATGACAATAAAAAAATGACCGTTCAAAATTGCCAATGATACAGGAAACAAAAGAAAAACGATTTACGGCCGTCGCGTAAATTCTTCCTCTTGGAACGGCAACAGGTGACCACGTGTGCATGAACCTATTTTAAAACGGTATCTTGTGTAAAAAGGCCGTAGCGACCGCATACACTGAGATAAACAGTATAAAAGGATTGTATCCTAAGTTTTTTTTTTATGGAATAAACTATTTAAAATACAGATTTAAATTTTAGGTCATTTTTAGCAAGATATCGCAATTTAGTTGGGAAATATGCATTTTATAATTTAGGATGTAAATTTATGCATTTCAGTGTAGATAAATTAGGATTCTCGATTGTTGAACTGGTTGCCTTATATAACTGTATAAGGCAAAGGGAGGGTGTGGAATACAAGAAATCAGCTGATCCAAGACGTCGTAGATGTGGCAACAAGTGGTCCACGACACGTGCGATTTTACGCGAAAAATTATTAACGCTTAAAAATTTACAATGGACAGAATGGGCGTAGAGCTTTTAATATTTCAGTAGTGGTAAAAATCAATATGGCCTAAATCGATGTCACAGTTAGTAACATGCTATTATTATTAGACACTGTGTATAATAATAAGGGAATTTCACTACGGCGTAGCGAAAGGTCAAACGTACAAAAATCGATGTTCTTTTGTTTAAAACGGCATTAGCAAGCATTAAAAATCTTGGTTGGCCCAAATGTGCGCTGTCTATGTTAAACTATCGTGTATTTTCGACGTTCTACGCCGCGTTGCGATTCTATGATTTCCTTGGGGCATGACGTATTGTTTGGATGGTAGATAGGCAAAATGGCGTTGGCCGGAGTTTTATGCTCGCAAAAAAATCACAGAAATGTGTTTTTAATAAACTATGGATTATAAAACAATAACAATTATCAACATTTATAAAAATTGTATTAACCTAAAATTTTGCTTTGTATGTTTTGGCTGCAATATATTATTATAGATAAGCAAAATGTACAGAGACGAAATTTTAGGTCAATAAAATTTAAAAAAATGTTGGGAATTGTTATTATTTTTATAATTTGTTAATGTTTAACTAAAGTGACGCATTGTGGTGGTAGATAAGGGAGATAGCGAGCGGACTTTTATGCCAATAAGATAAAAAACGTTTTGTTGTTTATAGAATTTTAAGGTTTTAATTTTGTGGAGTTTAATATGCAAAATTTTTATACTGTCATGGTTTTAGTTTAGTTTTTATGTAAAATGTCATTTTTTATTATTTTTTACATTTTAATATTTCTTTCCTAACCTCAAAAATTAAGCAAATATTTGATTATTTTTCTTTGATTGGCATTGTTGCCATGAACAGTCAAAAAACAAACAATCGAAAACGTGCGAACTCTTCGATCATCGAAATAAATAATGATCTTGTTTTCGCTTGGAAACGTAAACACAGGCTCGAAGTGAAACAAACAACAGTCTGGCTTTTGATCGAATAAAGAAAACAAAAAAAAAATTGTACAACATAGTGATCCGTTTTGCGCGCGCGACTTGATAAAAACAGGCCATTTTGACTTTGTGTGGTTATTTCGACATCGTCGTACGTCATCGAGTTGTTGGAATCGATGATAATTGCGGGGATTTTTGTGATAATTGGGAAAAAAGGGAATGTTTTCGTCACATGACTTGAACCTGTTTGTTGCAGAGAGCAGAGACACGTGCCTTAACGACAAGGCCAATGTTTGCTGTATGTAATGTATTGTGACCTAGATACAGAAGGTCGCAAAAGGTATCCTAAAACGTCATTTTTCACGAAAAATCACCACTGTTTTTTGTTCGTTGTGACGCTGCACTCGAATTACACTCTGTCGCACAAATGTATGTAAACATGGTTTAGGGTATCTAAAGAGTGTACTAACCTGCGACTGTTTTGGCAGGAATTAGTTTTCCCGTGCGCGATATGTACGCCAATCCGGCGCTCCTCAGATGCTTCTGCATCTTCCGCTTGCTCTTCGGTATGCATTGCTTGTCGAGGCGTTCCATAAGGGCCGCCGTTGGGGCTGGCGACGTCATTTCGCAGGCACTTGTCGTCTACTTTTTTGGTTACTTTTTTTCTGCGTGTTTGGTGTTAACGGTTGCTTGATCGTTGCGCGACTGGTGGCGATCGACGGTTTCACTTCCACCAGCTCCTCGACGACGACGTCGTCATCGCGGACGGCTGCTTGGGAGGAGTGAAGCTAGATGGCGCCAGAGGCGGCACGTGGTGGGATAAGCGAACGGGTGCAAAGTTTGTTCCTGCGGCGCAGCAATAAAAATTTTAAGGGTTTTCTTACTTTTTTTTTAAATTGATTTGGGTAATGTTTTTTTTAAATGAAGGGGCAAGTGTATAAAGGGTTATGTCCCTGACTAATAGGTTTGTGAACGAAAAACTTGCGTATAAGGCTATAAGATTTTTGGTCCTGACAGACCTCACCTGATTAAAAGGGTTAGGACAGGGAACATAAGGTACAGCAAATGCTTAATCTAAACTAGGAAAATAATTTTTAAAGAAATAGTGCTTTTTTAGTATATTATTATTCCGCATTTTCATTTAGGAGTTGCTCACCTTGAATAATTATGATTGTAAATAAAAATAAATTTGATAGGTAGGTAGGTACCTATTCAGTGCCGGTTTAACAGGGGTTTTTTGGGGACTATAGCACCGGGCGGTAAATATTTTTGGGGCGGTACCGCGTACCGCCCTAATTTAAAAAAAAAATACTTAATCGTTAGAATTTAGAAAAAAAAATATTGCGACACTGCGTCGGCGAATACAACGGATACAAATGAGAAAAATGTTGTTAGAGTTGAAGCAGCTTCTCCATCAGAAAATCTTGATTTATTGCATGGAAACGGAATAATTTTAACTTTTTGGATAGACGTTTTGCAAAGGGTTAATGAAACCAATAAAGCAGTCCAAAAACAAAATATGGATGTAAGCACAAATGCTCATCTTTTGTCATTTTTAGTTGAGAACTTTGATTTTTTACGTGATCATTTTGATCATTACGAGGAAATAAACAGGAAACGAAAATTATGCTCAGAAGCGGATAATCATAAGAAAATTACAATTTGAAGAAAATAATTCAGAGGCAAATTTAAGCAAAAAAGAAACAATGCGAACAATATGTTTTATTTTAATAATTGACAATCTATAATCCGAAATCATTTGTCGATATGATAGCTAGAAATCTGGCACAAACAAATTTGAATTTTTGTTTAATCTAAAAGCATAAATCTTCGTGGAGGATTTGGATGAGTTTTTTTCTCAAAAATGTGTCCAACTCAAGAAACTGGTAACTTCCCTTTCGGAAATAAAAATAGAAACTTCATTGGAATTAGAATAAGTTTTATACGAAAATAAATTAATATCTTCATTTCCGAATATTAATATTTGTCTGCGAATTTTTTTTTTATAATGGTTTCAAATGCAAGTGGTGAACGATCTTTCTCTACTCTAAAAAGGGTAAAGAACTACCTAAGAAATACAATTCCCCAAGAAAGATTTAACTCCTTAGCAATTTTGTCCATTTATCAAGTGTTATAAAACAATTTGCTACTACAAAGACTTAAAAACAACCTTTTAATTATTAGTATTAGGATTTCTCAATATTTATTTAAACCAAAGAATAATGTTTTATTTATTTATAACTTTTGATAAGTTTTTATTAGTTAAATGAAACAAAATATTAAACTTTTATTTTTTAATTAGTTTTTCTTAGTACTTAGTATTGTTTATATAAACCAAAGAATGTTTTAATTTTTAGTTAGTGCTTTTGATTAGTTTTTATAATTTGTTTATAAAGGCTCATTTTATATTTTATAGGATACTAAGTTTACTGTTAGATACCAGCCTAACCAACCTAATCTTCCACTTGACGTGAGAAAGTAAGACTTACAAATTTAAAAATGTTTTTAAAAAAGTAATATTTTAAAGCATTGGGCGTTGTGTTTGTGCCAGAACCGGGCGGCGAATTAACTTAAACCGGCACTGTACCTATTGCAGAATTGCAATTGTAATTTTACAAAAAAATTTATCATATCCAAACCTATATGTACTATAGTATAAAAATTGTCAATATACAGGGTATAATACTTGTATGGGTATTTTTATTTAAATAGGGAAAAGTTGCGCATCACAAGCCCATTAAAATGAAATACCTATATTAATTGAAAAAAAAGACAAATGTGAAATAAACTAAAAATCTTTTAAAACCAAAAATCGTTACAACTTCGTTATTTCTGGGTATTTTAAAAATAAGTAAGTTTTACATGTAAATCTAGGTAAATTTTCATGCAATTTCTTCGCTATTATATTTTGTTTTTATGATGGCCGCCAGTGGCGGCTGGTGGATTTTGGGCACACCCATATCTCAGTTATTAGACATGGGACACACATCAAATTTATATGAGTTTATAATGACATTATATAGACAAGTTCTGCGCAAGCAGAATTTAAATTAAAGTTTGCGAAAAAAAGTTAGTTTTTAAGTGCAACCCCCAGCCTCCTGCCCCTCCAAATTAAGATAATTCAAATTAAAGTGGACAATATTTAATTCACTGGAGTTTATCGACAAATTTCAAATTTTATTAAAAACATTCAAGAATTATAGGTTTTATACCATTTATAATTTTTAGTATTTCTTTTACTAAATTTAAAAAAATTATAAATGGTATAAAACCTGTAATTCTTGAATTTTTTTAATAAAATTTGAAATTTGTCGATAAACTTCAGTGAATTAAATATTGTACCACTTTAATTTGAATTATATTAATTTGGAGGGGCAGGAGGCTGGGGGTTGCACTTAAAAACTAACTTTTTTTCGCAAACTTTAATTTAAATTCTGCTTGCGCAGAACTTGTCTATATAATGTCATTATAAACTCATATAAATTTGGCCGCCATTACTTTAATACAAAGTTGGATTCCTTGATTTGTTTTTTTATTTAATCATGTAAAATTCCAATATGGCTGCCACAGAAAAAACAAAATATGTAACTTAAAATCTAGTAGGCGAACAAAACACAAATTGGAAAAATGTGTATTTTTTAAATTATTTGTTCCCAATTTTAAATGACATTTTAATAAACTTGCAATTACGCAACTTTTGTCTAGTTCAACCGACCTTGTAGCTCTTCAAATAAAAAAGAAGGATACTTTGCATATACATTTTATAATACTGAAAAATAATGTTACTTTCATGGATATCCTCAATTATTATTTTTAATGTCTTAATTCTTGGGATTCTTTTTGCACACCACCGGATACTGTATGCCTAATTAATACCCTAATCGATTTATAATACTCGTACACAGTAAAGTGTGTCTTTCAAAGTCTTTAGGACAACAACCCTAATAATCGATTTGTCATTATCTAAATGACTATCCCCTTCAGATATTGTAAATATTATATTATTAGTAGGTATACCTATTTATAATTTAAGGGCTTAGTTTTCCATTAACCAAATTAAAAATATTTGTTCTTTAATAAAAATAATTTTTTTTCTACTTCCACCTTTAAAACGCCCATTATCGTACATGTTTCCATGACTCTAGTTGTATTATCTTAACATAATCATATTTTAAAGTTTAAAGTATCAATAATTGTTAAGTTTAATTAAAATATTATTTTAATGTTAATGGTAAAAATTACGTCAAAAATGTTTATTGGGATGGTTACTTTATTTTCGTATAGATGTCGCTTTATACAAATATTTAAGTTAAATCAATTTTTAGATTATATTGAGGGTTGTAACTATAATAATAGTTACTATAAGTGTAAAATTTGGGTGATTTTTTAAATAATTCTATACACTAAAGAAGTATCGCTATAGTAGCGCCACCACTCGGCTGTTATCATCGTAAAAAAAGTAGCACTTTTTATAATCAGCTGTCAAACGCTTATTTTACAAACTAGTGTTTTTGAGAATAAAGCCGGAAATGTTAAAAAATACCGTGGCTCGATTTGTTGTGTTGTTGGGTGTATTTCATTACCGGTTTTCCAATAAACAGTGTTAATCTGAATGAAGAAATAAATTGCATAAATTCTTTGTAAATATAAATTGTACCTATTTCAATTCAGTAAAAATCGTCAAACAAATAAGTCGTCTAAATTTAAACAGCATTTAACATTATTAAAAGCGTTGATTAAGAAAGTCTCCACTCAACGGTAAAATACCATTATATTATGTGTTTTATATAATATTATGTTTTCATGAATTCGTAGGTATCTTTTTTGTTTAAAATGCAGTTGTCGGCGTTTTTTAGAGAACACAAATATAAAAATGGTTGATTTTAGGGTTATGTTTGTGCAAAAATTATTTTGTACTAATTTCTTAAAAATGTCCTAACATAAATATAAATTATATTAGGTAAAACTATCATTAGTTAATTCTGCACCAACAAATGTACTTACTGAATTGGATCCTTTGGCAAAACATGAAAATGCAACGATTTAGTTCTTGAATCTTATTTACAATTAAAAACACAATAATTCACCATGATCCCTTAGATAAAATACACACACTAACGTAACTATGTAAGCATTTAAGCGTTGAGTTTCTTAATCAGTGATATAATAAGGAATAATCAATCGAAATTGAGTACTAAAAAAGTTTTTTAATTTGTCGAGTAAGACTTCTGCCTTCCCCTCTTTTGTGAAAAAACTACCTATTTATTTAAAAATTATGTACAGTTCGTATGCTTTAAATGTATTGTTGACAATTCTTAAATTCACGCAATGCTATCGAAACCCACCAGATGGCGCGCGCGTTGCGAAAACCCGATACTTCTTTAGCGTATAAATTTTGGTCCAAAAACAACAATAATAATCTGAAACTCCTTGAAACCACAAAAAACAAAAAAAATGCAATTCCTAAAAGTCGCAGTAAATCATCAAATGGCCATGCCCACGTCAATTACCATAATAACTTCGCATCTAGTCGCCCGTTCTATGCTTCTAGCCGATGACGCAAGCCACCGAAACAGCTACGTTTTGTTCTTCGCAAGGCCCTCTTGTGCCGAAAAAACCGCTTTCACCTCGACTCGCGGCAGACCTTCGCAATCGCCCAGAAAACCGTTTGGACCAAATAATTTCGGTGTTGCGCCCGAAGTGTTAGGCAAGAACCGCTCCGTTGGGTTTCGGGCGTTCGCCGCAGCGCTGGATGACATTTAAATAAGCGAATGCAAACACTTGTCG